TTCGCGAATGAGATGGGCGAGTCTGCGGGTGAGTCTGGGTCGGGCCATTGCGAGATGAGCGGTTGTCCCTGGGGGGATCTTTCCGAGTGCGCTTTTTTCCATGGGTCTCTGTGTTCGCGTGGCTGGAGCGGCCGCGTGTCCCGGGTGGCCCGGGGGTGACTGCGAGACGAGGGTATCAGGATTGAAAGCTGCGGCTGCGTATAATATGCTCGATGTGAGCTGAGGTTTCGGCTGGGCGTTCGGCCGAAAACAGAAGGTAGGAACAGTGGTTGTTATTCATATACTTCAGCCTTCCTGCCTCCCGCGCCTCTCTCTCGCATCCCCGCCGCGCGGCCGTCCCGGGTCGCGGGGCCCTTGAGCTGTGTGGCGCGCCTGCAGCGGGCGCGCGCGAACTTCCGTAGAAGGGGGGGAACGTGCTCTCTCATAGCGCCGGCCCCTCTATTTGCACATCGTGTCTCTCTGTGTTCCGTGCAGCTATCGCAGCGCCTTCCACGGTATATGTGCAGCTATGTACTTATGTAGACGTGTATGTATACCTATATATATATATATATATATATATATATATATATTATATTATATATATATATGCATGTATGCATGCATGCATGCATGCATGCGTGTATGTTTGTACGTATGTATGTATGTATGTATGTATGTATGTATGTATGTATGTATGTATGTATGTATGTATGTATGTTTTAGGGCATGCATGTGCTTATGTAGCCATGTTCATATGTACGTATATCCGTGCGTGCGCACGTACACATGAATGCATGCAAGCACGCCAAGTCAATGTTGGTGTGTAGAGGTGTATAATTGTATGAACCTATCATGCTTTGTTTTCGCGTTTTGCGCGATTTCGCAGGCCCCCCGCAGATGCGTGGAATCCACAGCTGAGGCGTCGTGGTCTTGGGCACTAGGAGGGGACTCTGGTGGTCGTGTTGGGAGCTGTTTGGTGGCTTGGCGTAGCTTCTTGGAGGCAGTTTTAAAGCGTCTTGGGGTTTTTCTGGGGGCCATTTTTGTGTTATCGGGGGTCTCTTGGGGCTTACTTGTTGCCTATTTTGGGCCGCTTGGGAGCTTCTTGGGGCCTCTTGGGGGCCCCTAAGTCCAATCGCGTTTTTTTTTTTTTTTTTTGTTCTCTCCTTTTCCCTCTCTATTTCGGTCTCCCTTTCGAAGGTGATCAGCACGCGTAGGGAAGGGTCAGCTACAGTCTGCGGGTTTCACCACGGGGGGCAAAAGGGGCAGAAACGTTTACAAACAATGCGAAAAAACCTTCCCAGAAGGCGGCGGGACTTCTCAGAAGCCCTCGCGCCTTTCGAGAAGTTTTCTGTATATTCGGGGATTGTTCAGAACACTTCTCAGAAGGTTGGGGGACTTCCGAGCCTTCTGAAAAAGGCCCGCCCTTGGTCACTTCCCCCCGGCCTCGCTGGGACATGATGCCGAACATGGAAGCGGCCTGCGCGCACAGTGAGCGCACGCGTGGCCCAGCACTGCACGACGCGCTGAGCATGGCAAGGAGAGACATACGCAATGGCTTTCGATCAACATGGTTCCCGCATTGGGTGGCCAGTGTTGCCGCCACCGGGTCCTCAGGGCGGAGACGGCAGAGACCCCCCCCCCAGAGAGCGGCGAGGATTGCAGCGGAGCAGGTTGCCTCCGGTGCTGCCGACACCAAGGCGCCCGCCCCGTTGCCGCCGCCGTCGTCGTCGTCGTCGTCGCCGCCGTCGCCGTCTCCGTCGCCGCTTCCTCGCCGCCGTCGCCGCCGACGCTGCCGACGTCTCCGTCGCCGTCGCCGTCGCCGCCGCCGTCGCCGTTGCCGTTGCCGTCGCCGTTGCTGTCGTCGTCGTCGACGTCGTTGTCGTCGTCGTTGTCGTTGTCGTCGTCGTCGTCGTCGTCGTCGTCGTCGTCGTCGTCGTCGTCGTCGACGTTCTCCCGAGCCGCGATGGTGCCCACACCACGCAGCAGAGCGCTCGCGCGTGGAGGAGCCGTCGGAGCAGGAGGGGGCCCAGATCTGCAGTGTCGCGAGCGTGGGGCGCAGGTGCGTAGTGGGTTTCAGCCCTGAGAAAGTCAGCGAGACCCCTGTGATCCTCTCTGGCTGACCTGGGGTTGAGCGCCGCGAAGGGCCAACCCCGCCCCCCTTCCCTCCGCCGAGGTTTGCTCATGGTGGCCAGTGGATCCCGTGTCTCGCCGCCTTCTTTTCGGGACCTGGTTCTGGACCCAAGTTAAGCCGCTGACCCAGTGTAAAGCGCTACAGTCAAGCCGGTCAGGGCTCGCGATGTGGCCCTGGCTGACATTGGTCAGCGCTGATCTGGGTCGGCGCGTCCCCGAAGAAGGATGCTGGCGTTTCTGCTGCACGTCGAGGTCTCCTGGCGGCCCGTCTTGGCCGCGGCTGAACGCAGCTCAAAGATGGTGTGTCGAGCTCAAAGAGGAGGCTCCGCAGAACTGTCTTCGGCCGCTTGATCGGGTCTGGGGGTCGTCTTCTAGTTCTCTTGGAGGCGACGGGTGCCCACCGACCGGGACCCCTCAGTTGGCGCACGAGGCGGCGGCGAGGCGGTGACATGCGGGCACCGCCCGAACCCCCGGCAATCCCAACCAAGTATTTCGGAAAAGGAGTAGTGGCCCATTCGTGCAAGTGCTGCGAGCGTATGGGTGCCATCTTGTCCCGCCTCCCCAGACTCTCGCCGCACTCCGCACGGCTGCAAAACGCTTGCCCACTCATCGTCATGCAGCAGGCCCGCGCCTATCATGCCTCAGCTTCCCATCTACGCCCTGCCCGCTCTTGGGCTAACAGTGGTGCTTGATCATACTGCTGCTGCTACCAGTGTTGATGTCGATGATGACGATGACGACGACGACAGTGGTGCTGATGATGCTGATGGTGATGATGACGATGATGTGTTGATGACGACAGTTATGATGTCGATGATGATGCTGATGATGATGATGGTGGTGGTGATGATGATGTGGATGATGATGATTTTGATGATGCTGATGCTGACGATGATGATGCTGCTGATGTTTGAAGGAACACAGGAGGAGGGAAAGAGGGATGATGATGTTGATGACGATGACGATGACGATGATGCTGATGATGATGACGATGCTGATGCTGATGCTGATGCTCATGCTGATGATGCTGATGATGATGATCCTGATGCTGATGATGATGCTGATTGATGATGATGCTGATGATGATGCTGTTGATTCTGATGATGATGATGATGATGATGATGATGATGATGATGATGACGATGACGATGACGATGACGACGATGATGATGATGCTGATGCTGATGATGCTGATGCTGATGATGCTGATGCTGATGCTGATGACGATGATGATAATGATGATGATGATGATGATGATGATGATGATGATGATGATGATGATGATGATGATGAGGATGAGGATGATGATGATGATGATGATGATGATGATGATGATGATGATGATTGATGATTGATGATGCTGGTGATACTGCTGCTTCTGATGAGGACTGCGTAACTGATGCTGCCCATGATGCTGAGGGTTATCGTAATTGCTACCTGAAGACAGTGGCGATGACGATGTCCATGGCGATGGTGAATACCGTATGATGATGCTGCTGATGACGAAGACGGCGACGAGATGTTGCTGCTGATGACGACGATCATGTTGATGATCGATATCGCGATGAAGATGCTGATGACGAAGACGACGGCGAGACGACGACGACGAGGACGACGACGACCACGAGGAGGGCGAGGACGACGACGACGAGGACGACGGCGATGATGATGATGATGATGATGATGATGATGATGATGATGATGATGATGATGATGATGATGATGATGATGATGATGATGATGGCGATAACGATGACGCCCCCTCAGGGCGCCAGCCTCTCCGTGGACGGGCCTGGTGCGTGGGCCAACAGCAGAAGGATGCAGGTGAAGTTCGGCGTCGCCAGCAGCCAGCTGCAGCTGCGGGCGCAGGAGCCGCCCTTGGCGTCCCGCGAGGTTCCGGCGCTGGCTGCGGAGGGGAGGTGTGCGCCAGTCCATTTTCTCTCTCTGTATGCATGGATTTTCGGGGGTGGACAGAACCCCCAACAGTGACACGTCGATTAGTGAATTGTCCGTTTTCGGTTCTCGAGAGGGCGCCGTGGCCGTTATTTTCCAGGCCTGCGCCCACCAGGTTTGGGCCTCGGGTCGTTTTCACTAAACCACGTTTTACTAAAGGGAGGTCTGTCCATCCCCGAGATTTGGGTGTTTGCCTCGTGGACGCTGCGTGGGCGGCCGCCCGTGTGCGCCTCGTGGGCACCCTCAAGGCTTGCACCGCACAGCTTGCACCACACCGCTTATTACCGCATGGCTTGCCCTACATGGCTTCCAGTGCGTCACTTGCACCACATGGTTGGCACCACCTGGCGAACATGGACAGTGCAATAGCTCTCTGTCTTGGGTCATTGCTGGCACACGTTTCGACGAAAGTCTAGGGTTGAGATTTTTTGGCCCTCGTCAGTCCCTCCAGGCCATTAGGAGCTTCTGGGGACCTCTGGAGGCCTCCAGGCACCTCGGGAGATCAGAGCAGATGGGCTCGGAGGATCGCGCCATGGCGTCGATGCATCTGCGATTGGACGCGATCTGGAGCCCGATGCTCTCCATCCCGACGTCGCCGATACGTCGGCGTCGGCAGTGCGGTGCGATCCCCCCCTGCCATCTGCGCCGGCCCTATGTACAGGGAGCCCAAGGACCGCCGTGAAGGAGAGATGTCCTGAGTCAGGGGCGTTCAAGAGGAGGTGGTGACTGGGGCAGGGTGGATATCATGGGCAGGGTCATGGTGTTCCCGAACCCCGAATTTCAAGGTTCGCTCTTCTTATGCCAATGCGGCTAGGCCTCCCAGATGGGGTCGGAGCAGATGGGGTCGAAGGATCGCGCCGCATCGGCGACATCGGCGATACATCGGCGATGCATCGGCGATGCGGCTTGATGTAGAGCCCGATTTTCTCCACACCGATGTCGGCGATGCCTGTCGACGTCGCCGATGCATCGCCGACGCATCGGTGGTGCATCGACACTGCGGCGCGATCCTCCGACCCCGCCTACTCGGACCCCTTCTAGGAGGCCCCTAATGCGTCCCCTGGCCCCCCCCCCCTGATTTGCGACCCCCCCTCTCGGACGCCCCCCTCTTCGACGCCACCGACAGGGATGCGGGCCCCCGGGTCTCGAGGCCTTTCCCGGGGCGAGCTCTCCACCCCGAGCGGCGCTGTGACGGCCCAGGGACGTGTTGGAGGGCCACAGGGGGATCGGGGAAGAGCGGCGAGAGAATGCCCCTCCGGTCGTTGAGAGTATGCATTCTTGAATTACCAGGTTCCAGCGCTCCAGGCCTTCTAGATGGGGTCCGAGTAGATGGGGCTGGAGGATCGCGCCGCATCGTCGATGCATCGGTGATGCTGCTCGATGCGGAGCTCGATTTTCTCCACGCTGGCGTCGCCGATGCGTCGCCGATGTCGCCAGTGCATCGCTGGTGCATCGGCGATGCATCGGCGATGTATCGCCGATGTATCGGCGATGCGGCGCGATCCTCCGACCCCATCTACTCGGACCCCATCTGGGAGGCCTCCAAGTATACTGTTGGCGCCGTCCTATTTCAAGAGCTGGACGGCTTTACAATTGCGCAAAATGAGTGCGCTCTCCAACCTGTTCCGAGTTGTTTTCCCCTACGTGTTTTTAATCCGATGGTCTTGGGGGTTTCAAAACGGTGCTTTCGGTGCAGCGTGCGCTTCATTTTCGGATCGGAGCTGTGCTCCCGTCGTTCAGAATGGCGCTCTCGTCCCAGCGCTGGCCACTTTTCTGGATCCGAGTTCTTTTGTACTGTTGTCGCCCTCCTCATTTCCCCTCTGGCTTCCTCCTGCTCCTCCCACTCTTTCCACTCCAGTTCCTGCTGCTGCTGCTGTTCGTCCTTGTCCTCCTCCTTCCTCCTCCTCCTCTTCCTCTTCCTTTTCCTACTGCTCATCCTCCTGCTCACCCGCCACCTCCTCGTCCTCGTCTGTGCGCAGCTGCCCTTCATGTCCGATTGCGCGTCTTTTTTTGGAATTTCAGGTCGGTCACGACGCGTGTCCGCGAATAGAGAAACGTCAGCGCAGTGGGAAGGGATGGGATGGGAGGGAAGGATAGGATGTCAGATATAGTGCGAGCGCACCCAGCTTGTCCTCCAGCTCCTCTCCCCTCCTGCATCCTTCCTGCGCCTCCGCCTCATCGCGTATTGGGGCGAGCAGACTCCTCGAATGCTCATCGACGCATCCACGCAGCTCGTTCCTAGCCCCTCGGCGCCGACGCCTGTCTAGCTGGTCGGTCGCCGCGGCGCGCGCAGAGGATGACCCGCAGATCCTGGTCACGGGCGGCACCCCCACGAAGGCCGCGCAAGTCCCGCCGTCGCCCGCGCCGCTGATCGAGGATCGAGGATCGAGGAGCATTCGAGGCCCGAAGAAGATCGAGTGCCGAGGAGCTTCGAGGATCAAATCGATCGAGGGTAGAGGATCGGGGGCCTCTGGCGGCGGAGGACCACGTCGGTCGTCGGTCGTCGGTCGTCGGTCGTCGTCGTCGGTCGTCGTCGTCGTCTTTGTTATCGTTGTCGTCGTCGTCTTCTTCTTCCTCTGCTTCTTCGATCGTTGTCGTCGTCCTGCTCCGCCTTCTCCTGCCCCCTCGCCCCTCATCTTGCTACCGTCGCCCCGCTCGTGGGCTTGAGGCTGGATGAGGGTCGAGGATTCGAGGATCGTCGAGCCCCGATACCCGATCCTCCTCGATCCTGGATCCTCGATCCTCCCCTTCCCCTCGTGCTCCGCAATTATCGAATCTGTGTACTACTCTCCTCTCCCCCGACTACGTCCTGGAAGTATCCCGCCCTCCCCGCGTATTTCTGTTGACTCAGGATTGCACACTTGTTTTGGTTGCCTGTCAGACGTGGCGCGAGCGCACCTACCTTGATATGAATACTATCAAGTCGGGCATGTCCCTCTACAGGACGGATTTGCAAGAATAGTATAACGTAGTCTTGTGACGATTTTTCGTGCTCTTCTGATTTTTGATTATTCTAGACATTTCTAGTTCCAAAATCCGCCTACAGGAGGACATGCCCGACTTCAGATACTGCTCTCCTCTCTCCTCGACTGCGTCCTGGACGTGTCCCGCCCTCTCCGTTTTCTTTTTTCTCCGTCTGTACGGGATTTTCAACGACTGATATTTCATCTGCTCGTTGCGTCAATCGGAGCATTTTTTGGTGCTTCGGAATGCTCGGCCGCGCGCATAGGAGGGTAGGGTGAGGGGGGAAGACTTTTCAGAAGCACCCCTGCTGCTTAGAAGGCGCGGGCCTTGTCTGTAGATGTAGGGCTAGCGCCTCCTAAGAAGCAGCCTCCTTCTAAGGATCCTTCCCCCCTCTCCCTACCCCCCTTGTGCGCGCCGCCATAATGCAGTTCCCGTTGCAGCGTCGCCGTTATTTCAGGACTGGCGCTTGGCTCCCGTCGTTCAGAATGGCGCTCTCGCCCCAGTGCGGGCCTCTCCCGCTCCTCCTGCTCTTGCTCCTGCGGTGGCGGCTCTTCCTGCTCCTCCTTTCTCATTCTGCTGCGCATCCTCCTGCTCATCTGCCACCTTCTCCACCTCCTCCAGTGTACGCAGCTCCCGTTGCTGCTTTCGCACAACGCGATCGGGTCATTCTGGGGTCCATTCGCCGTGACACCCGTCAGTGGATAGAGAAAGTGAGCGCAATGGGAAGAGATGAGTGAGAGGGGTAGATCGGATTTCAGATGTAGTGCGAGCACACCTGGCTTGTCCCCGCCATCTCCTCTCCTCTCCCCTCCGTTCCTCCTCCTCTCCTTCCCCTCTCCCCGTCCTCCCCCGCTGCGCCGCTGGTTTGCGACGTCAGGCTGGACCCCCCTCGCGTCGTGAAAATGAGGCAGCGGACGGTTTATGGCAATTTTTGGCCTCTGGTGGGCCCCGGGGGCCGTCAATCAACAACTCAAGATGAAAATCCGGTCGCGGAGAAGTCGTCCGCGTATCCAGGGGTCCACGTTCTGAAAAAAGTTAGGGCGCCGAGGTCTGGGGTTGGTCGAGGGTTCGAGGATTGTCGATCCTCGAGTCTCGATCCTCCTCGATTTTCGATCCTCCTCGGTCTCCCGTCCTCCTCGGTCCTCCTCGATCCTGGATCGAGGCAGGTGGAGGCAGATCGTGGATGGAGGAGGACTCGAGGATTCGAGCATCGAGGAGTATCGAGGAGCCAGGATTCGAGGATCGAGGTTGGCGGCTCGAGGAAGAGAGGGGGCTCGAGGTTCGAGGATTCGAGGATGGAGGACTCGAGGATTCGAGGATTCGAGGATTCGAGGATTGGGGAGGATCGAGCATCGAAGATTCGAGGCTTCTTGGGCCCTCCAGGTGCCTCACGGTACCCCCACCGCCGCCGAGCTGGCCCCCTACCCTTTCGCCCCCTCCCTAAGTATCCTCCACTGCTGCTCCGTCGCCGCAGCCACCGCCGCCGTCGCCCTCTTCGTGTTCGTCTTCGTCTTCGTCGTCTTTGTCTTCGACTTCGTTTTCTTATTCCTCTTCTTGGTTGTCGTCCTCCTCAGCTTCCGCCTCCTGCTGCTCCCCTTCCCGCGCTCGTGCTCCCTCTTCCCATCGTGCTCTTCTCCTCCCCCCAATCCTCTCGCGCCCCCTTCTTTCTCCTCATTCTGCTCTTTCTCCCCCTTCACCTCCTCCTCCTCCTCCTCCTCCTCCCACTGCCCCTCCCTCTCCTCGTCCCCCCCCGCTGCGCCTCTGGTGTGTGTCGTCAGGCCGGGCCCCCCCTCGCGTCGTGAGAAAGTCAAGCTGGATGTTTTGTTGCCTTTTTTGCCCTCTGGGGCCCTTGACGTCTGGCGGTCAGACGAGGAGGATTTGTCCATCAGGAAAGTGTATGGATGAGGAGGCGGAGGAGGAGGAGGAGGAGGAGGAGGAGGAGGAGGAGGAGGAGGAGGAGGAGTCAGGCGGGCTATCCCCCCCAGTTCGCGACGGCCCCAGGTGAGCTACGGCGACGTCATGGAGGACGTTCCCTGGAGCGACAGCTGGGGCCAGGCGCGCCCCGCTGTGCGCCCGCGCGCGCGTGCGCCCGCTCCTGGGCTGCGATCGCTCCTCCTCCTCCTCCTCCTCCTCCTCCTCCTCCTCCTCCTCCTCCTCCTCCTCCTCCTCCTCTCCCTTGCCCTCGTCCCCTTTCTCCCTCCTCCGCCACGTCCTCCTCCTCCTCCTCCTCCTCCTTCTCGATCCCTTCCTCCCTCCGGCTACTGCCCCTCCTCCTTCCGGTCGGACTGGTGGTGGAGGGAGGATGCGACCTGATCGCCAAGAGGTCTCAGGGCCCGCCCCCCGCGCGCTCTTCTGGTCTGGGGCTGAGGGGCGCGTCTCTCTACCTCACCGCTGCACCTGCCCTTCCTCCCGGGCGTAGTGGTGGGGGAGGGAGGATTCGATCCCAGACATGCTCGCGTCGTGACAAAACGCAGGACGGAAGGCTCTTGGCCGTTTGGGGCCGAGAAGCCGGTCCCGGGGGTAGGGTCGGGACTATCGGGGATCCCGTGCCGAAGCAAAACAGATAATCGCATGACTGGGATTTGCTCGCTGCCAGACGTCAGGTGTCCCAATGCCGCCCTCTCCCCACGTCGCACTCTGCTCACACGACTGCGAGGAGGAGGAGGAGGAGGAGGAGGAGGAGGAGGAGGAGGAGGAGGAGGAGGAAGAGGAGGAGGAGGAGGAGGAGGAGGAGGAGGAGGAGGAGGAGGAGGAGGAGGAGGAGTGATTGCTGGCTGGGTCGTGCTGCGACCTCCGACTGGATGGCTCACCGATCTGCCGGCGGTCCAGCTTGGTCGGAATCGGGGTCGGAGGTGTGTGTTCGTCTCCGAGGACCTTCGGATCGGCCCATTTCAGTCGGAGGTCCAATTCTTGGATATTCTCTGGGGGAGGGAAGGAAGGAGGGATGGGGGAGGCCAGGAGGAGGAGGAGGAGGGCGGGAGCAGCAGGAGCAGCAGTAGGAGGAGGACGAGGGAAGGAGGAATGATGATGCTGCTGATGCTGATGCTGCTGATGATGATGATGATGATGCTGATGCTGATGCTGATGCTGCTGCTGATGATGATGACGATGATGATAGTGATGACGATGATGATGATAATGATGATGATGACGATGATGATGATGATGATGATGATGATGATGATTCTGATGATGATGATGCTGATGATGCTGCTAATGATGCTGCTGCGGATGATGATGCTGATGCTGCTGCTGATGATGATGATGATGATGATGATGATGATGATGATGATGGCGGTGGTGGTGGTGGTGGTGATGATGATGACGACGACGACGATGATGATGATGATGATGATGATGATGATGATGATGATGATGCTGATGATGATGATGATGATGATGATGATGATGATGATGATGATGATGATGATGATGATGATGATGATGATGATGATGATGATGATGATGATGATGATGATGATGATGATGATGATGATGATGATGATGATGATGATGATGATGATGATGATGATGATGATGATGATGATGATGATGATGATGATGATGATTGATTGGCTGGGCTGTAGGCGGACCTGGAGCTCTGCTGGAATCGCGGCTTGAGGAAGCAGCGAGCGCGGCCAAGGGGTAGCGCAGACTACGTTAAAGCGGTAATTATACCGCTGGGTCCACGTCGGGCGACAGCGGAGGAAGTAAGGCTCGAGTGCGAGTTTCGCCCCGGGCTCCCGTGGCGCGGAGTGCTGAGGCAACCGCCCGGTCGGCTGCTATTACAGCCTGTTCGGAGTGGCGGGGTAAAAGACCTGCCTTCATTTTCTCTCGGCACTGTCTGCTCGAAAACTGCAGGTGGTGCAAGGCTCGAGGCCGAGTATGGAAATTCTTGTGGCAGCACGGGCAATGTGTTCCTATGATATAATACCGCGCCTGCATCTTAACGCCGTGGGCGTGGCGTTGGTGAGCGGCCAGACCCTTCGCCCCTTTACACTGCTTACCGCACGTGGGGCAAGGGAGGAGTGGATCCTTGTGCACGAAGAGATTGGCATCTGCCGCCTGCTTGCCTCGCAGCCGCCTCGCGGAGGAGGGAGGGCGATCAGCCGGGTGGGGACACGCGCTGAACTCATTACACAGGCGCCTCCACCTTTTCGGTTGGGCGGTGATGTATTCCTTCCATGCTCCTGGAAAGGCGAATGGGTCTCCTAAGACCGCTAAGCAGTCAAATTGAAACCGCTGACGATATGTCAAATCAAGCCATAGCTCAAACGCGGACGGGGGCTTCGGAATCGCAGAAATACAATTAACCACTAGCGGAGGAGCAGACATCTGCGAACAGAGGCCGGCGAGCCTACGAGCTCGGACCAACGAGTGCAACGAAGGGGCTGACAGGGCCTCACGGACAGCAGCGTCGGTGATGGTGTCGGGGGCGCCGTACCTCATGGTGCCGTTGATCCTGCGCAGGACGCGGTGGTACTGGGCCTCGAGCGGCTGCCAGCCTTTGTCCAGCTGTCCCCTCCAGGCAGCAACAGCGTAGAGGGCACGCGAGAGGATCAAGGACTGCGCGAGCATGAGCTTCGTGTTCAGCTGGATGTGCGAGGAGCCGAAGATCGGCACCGCCAGCGGCGCGAAGGACTGCTGGGCCTTGGTGGCCTTGCGGCGTCCATCGGCTTGGTGCCCGCCAGCGTCTTGTAGTATGGTCCCAAGATGATGGAAATCATGAACCACTTGAAGGACGTTGCCGTGCTGTGTGACGAACTCCTCCTTACCTTGACGCAGTAAGCGCTCTTGGCGGAGCGTGCGAGAGCGTGGGCCGAAGAGCTTCACCATTGCTGCCGATCTGCCAGGACCGAAATTGATGGTGAGGCCAATCCGGCGGAACTCTTCTACAATGATATCAGTGGCTCTATCCAATTTCTGGAGGACCTGCTCGGTGCGACCCTCTTGCTGCTGCTGGAACATGAAGACCGCGTCGTCCACGTACTCGGCGTCATTCGGCGTGTCGGTAGTCTCGTGCAGGTTGGGTTTGTCATCGAGGATTGTGGCCCAAGGTACAGCGAGCACGGCCTGCGCGAGCAGCTGCAGGGCGATGCCCTCTTCGATGAAACGGCGTCTCGCGCGCCCGAGGCCCTGCTTGTAGCCGAGGTTGAAGCATAGGGCGCCCAACCTGCATCCCTGGCGGGCTCCGCGCCGAGCGAGTGCAACATCATCTCCGTCGCCCTGGACTGCAAACCACGTGCCGGTGTGCCAATCGGCCACTCGGCGCACTTCGTCTTCATGTAGGCCTGCTTGTTGGAGGAGAGGCGGGTGCTGCTGAAGGTAGGTTTGTGCTTCGCCGGCAACCTCAGGAGGAATGCCAGCGCGCTGAAGATCTTCGGCGAGCGTGGGTAGGTGTAGTTTATCAACACCGTGCAAGTACTCGCGGATGATGGAATCGAAGGCCTTGGCAATGTCAAGAAACAATAATGCCCATGACGTGCGCGTGGTAAGGTTTCTCTCGACAAGCGTTTGCAGCGCAGTAGTGAGGATAGTGGCATCTCTCCATGGTACACGGCCGCATTGGGCAGGGCCCAGAAAAAAAAGTGTACATGTTGGAAGACGGGCTCGGCGATATATTTGCAGTGCCACTTCGAGAGATGATCTGAAACGAGGGTCCCGCGGCTGGAGTCGCAGTTCGCGGGGGTGCCAGTCTGCTTCCAGATGTCGAACAGCTTGCTGCCCTCCATGGCCGCCGGAGCCGTCGCCGCCGAGGTGGCCAAGTTGAACAGGGGCATGGCCACGTCGAGCGTGCCCTGTCTCCCAGCGCGCCACGCCTCAGCGCCGCTGCCATCTGGCCCAAGTCCTGTTCTAGGATGAACCCATGAGAGTTGCCGCCAGACGGGGCTGCGATCAGGTGGGTCAGAAGGTTGGTGAAGTGCAGGGCGCGGGCGTTGCTGCGCGTGGACAGCGACCTCGCTCATAAGGGGGGATCTGGCCGGCGAACAGGAGCGCCCAGTGGCGCTTCCACCTTGAGGAGATCTGACCAGGATCGTGCAGCGAGCGGCCCTGCTCGTCGTTGACCTTCGCGTGCTTCCGGAAGCCCCGGGGCGTCCGAATCTGACGGGTGATGCCGAACAGAGCCTTGGTGTTGCCATCTCGGTCTGCGACGTCCGCCTGCCTTGCCGGGCCCTCTGCCCAGGTCTGCCGATCGGCCCGAGTTAGCGCGCTCGTGGCATTGCGGTGCGCCGACAGGGAGGCAGAGGACTGAGCCGCCCTCCTGCGGGCGGCCGCGATGGGCCCACGTAGAGCGGCATACTCGGGCGAAGCAGGACTGCGCAGATGACCTGCCCATGCCTGAAACCCTCGTTGGAGTGGGAGGCGCTGTGCCTGCTGCCAGCTCCAGACTGCCAGTTCCTGATGCCCGGGGTGTTCTTGATGAGAGCCCAGCTCGTCGAAGAGATCCAGGGCTTCTTGGGAACTTGTGACGCCGGCGCGAAGAAGTGCTCGCGTTGGAGGTCCTGAACGTGCTCGATCATCTGAGCGTGGTAGACGTCGGGGCCCTGAGTGGCGTTGTGCTGGAGCTCGCCCGCGAGGGCGGACGTGTCCTCTTCGAGGGCCCGGCGTGCTTTGGGGTCGCGCAGCTTCTCCGTTGACGTCGTGGGGCTGGGGGCAGGCCTCGGGCCCAGCGAGTGGTCCAAGGCGACCGTGGCCTTGACTGCCCGGTGGCCCTCTCGTTCGGAGAAGTACAGCGAATCCTGCAGGGCGCTTGTGGCGTGCAGCTTGCGGTGCCAGTGGGGGCCGAGCCAGACGTGGTCGCCGCGCTTCTCGTGGCCCGGGATCCCGAACCAGGCGGGCTCCATGGTGCCGCTTAACTCGGCGGCGTCTTGGAGGTCGTGCGCCAGGCGGCGCTCGAGGGCGAACTGGTAGTTGGAGTTGGCGCCGGCCGCCTCGTCGTCGTCGTTGCCATCGATGAGGACGACCGGGGCGCGCTGGTGCAGTGCAGCGGCCAATTCTTTCTGGAGGGGCGCCCAGAAGGCGCGCTTCTCTTCCGTGGGCGCTGATGCCGCCGGGGCGTGCGCCGAGATGGCTGTCAACGTGAGGCCTGCTGCAGAGAACTCTGTGCGTGGCAGACGGGGGCTGACTGCGTTCGCAGCTGCCGTGCTGGCCAAGACCTTGAGGTCCTTCTGAAGCCAGATCTGGACCCCCCCCCAACCCGTCGTCAGTGGAGGGGGCGGAGAAGGCGAAGTAATGGTCCAGATCTTGACAACCTGAATCGGGAAGACGCGACTCCTGGATGCCTGCCAACTGGATGTGATGCCTGTTGCAGAAGTCCTCAACGTAGTGCGTGCGAGCGGTGACGCTCTCGCCGATGCGGCGTAGCTGCTGGCGCTCCTTCGGTTCCAGTGTCTGCGCATTGAAGGTGACAAGAATGAGCTGAGCTCCGTTGCGAGCTCTCTTGTCGCAATGTCTCTGCCACCTCGAAGGGGCGCTGTTGTGAACTTGGAGATCTTGATGGTGAAGCCCGAGGTCGGGAATGTAGTGGTACTGGTTCGCCTCCATGGCGAAGTTCACCCGTCGTTTTTCGCAACCACGTCGGCAAAAGACACCTGTTGGCGGGCTGATGCTGATCTCCGTGCTGCTGACGATGGTGGCGTTTCGGGATATGGCGAGTACCTCTGCTCCGGGCCCTGGCTCCGCGGGCGCGGGGGGGCCATCTTTCCGGGGTCCGGGATCCCGCTGGAGAGGTTGAAGTAATTGGTGAGGGTCTGCTGCTTATTCTTCTTCTCCTGCGGATGTAGGGGTTGCTTGCCCAAGTGGCGGTGGGTGGGCGCGACCCCGGGGGCGCTCGTGTCTTCCCCTGGCATCGGGGGGCTCTTCGCCGAGTGGCGCCGCGGCACGTTCACGCCGCCCGCCTCCTTGGCAGCGTGCTGGGCCAGGGAAGCCTCGAAGCGCAGCCAGGGGCGCTGGGGTCCCAACTGCGGGCCTCGGCGTCGGCGATGGCGTCGGGATGCGTGCCCTCGAGATTTGACAGCTGCTGGCAGGCCGCCTCCAACTGCGACTTGAGTGCGGCGAGGCCCTCCTTTTGGACGGGGGCCTCGGAGGTGGCCTGCTGGAGGTTGGCGAGCTCCTGCGCCAGGCGGAGCTCCTCCATGTCGGCGGCCTGGACGGCGGCTTCCGCGTGGCGTAGGGCCTCTCGGGCTTGCTGGGGGCGCTTCTTGGCCCTCTCGAGCGCGGCCTTTCAGTGGTTCCTGTGCTGGTTGATCGAATCCCTCGGGGCCGCGTGCTCGTCGCCGTGAAAGGGTGGCCAGCGCTGCTCCCAACTGCCTGATGGCGGTCTGGCGCTGGCTCCTGGTCATGTCGGGGGCCTCGTTCGAGGGGCTCTGGACCGATAAAGACGAAGGGGCATCCGTCTCGCCCTTCGGGGGGGCCTGCTTGAGCATCGCAGCGACCTCCGAGAGCGGTGCTGCCACCCCAGCTGCTGGAGAGCTTGACTGTGGCGTTCCCGTGGAAGCCGATGCAGGGGCGAACGACTTCCTCACGTCGCACATTGAGCACCTGGTCTTGGGGTACCAGTTGGTGGAATGGCAGACCTTGCGCTCCCGCGTTCGAGACGACTGCTGCGGGTGCCAGTGCCGGGTGCCCTTGCTCCAGGATCCGTCGGTGTGCTGCTGCCAGCCCTCCGGAGCCCAATCTCTGCCATGTGACGTCATCCGGGCCTAGGAGGAGCTACCCGCGGAGGCTGGGCTGCAGAAGTAGTGCAACGTGGAATATAAAAGCGACGAGTCGCGCAAACATGAACAGGCGGGCCTGTAGGCTTATTCTATCCGACCGACAACGCGGCTTGAGTCAACGTTGTTACGGACATGATGATGGTGATGATGTTGAAGTGATGATGGGAATGATGATGCTGATGATGCTGCTGCTGATGATGATGCTATGATGATGAGGATGAGGATGATGATGCTGCTGATGCTGCTGCTGGTGGTGAAGATTATGATAGTGATGTTGTCATCTATATGATGATGATGGTGATGCTGATGGTGATGCTAATGCTGATGACGGTGATGATGATGACGATGACGATGACGATGGCGACGACGACGTCGATTATGATGATGCTGATGATGATGGCTATGCTGACCATGACGATGGCGATCGCGATCGCGATTATACTGATGCTGTTGATGATGGCGATGCGGCTAATATGAGGGTGATGATACTGGTGGTGGTGATGATGATGAGGATGGTGATGCTGCTGCTGAGGGTGGTGATGGTAATCGTCTGGTTGATCGATGGATCGACGACGAGGACGATGATGCTGATGTTGCTGATGATGATGGGGATGATGGTGATGGTGCTGATGAGGATGAGGATGGAACTTATGGTGCGGAGAACGATTCCGGTGATGGTGATGCTCATGCGGATGAGGATGGGATGGATGATGATCATGCTGTTCGAAGAAACTCTCCGATGGGGGAGCGATCTGTTTACGCTGTGCTTGCCCTGCCGCCGCCTTGTCTCAAGGCGGCGCCGCCGAATCTGCCTGGACCAACAGCGGTCAATTTTTTGCGGCGGGGAGTGGTAAAGAGGTTCCTTTCCCTTCCCACCGCCATCGCCGCTATCGCAACCTCGTACCCTTCGCACCATTCATTTCACCATGCGATGGCGCGCGCCTTTTCGACGTGGTAGCGAAGCTGTCGCACCTGCGGCAGCGCCGCTCGTCTCCGCCGTCGGCGTGTTGACGACAACTTGACCCGCGCCGAGCATTCCCCGCATCAGAATCTACGTGGGCGCGGAGGTGACCTCGAGGACAGGAGGGTCGGGGATGCTTTCCCTGGCGTCTACCTGACCGCCATCAAGTTCCGCGGTGCCATTGCGACGGTGTCTGCGAAGATCCAGGCCTTATGCGCGCGAGGAGACTTGACCGCGATACTGAAGGCCCCCCTTCCTATTTCGACCCCATAGCTGGACCAGGTCTACTGTCGCCGCGCCAAGGCTGATAAGCGCGCGAGGAACCGCGACCGCTTATTCTACGACTTTGACTTTAAACCCAGATTTCTCCAACTACAACGTCGACTGCATCTTCCGCGACGCACCAGTAAGGGAACGCGATCTACAACTACGCCGTCGAGATCGGGGAGCGCCGACTGGCAAACCTCCCTAGACTCCCAGCTGTTCGCGGACACGCGACTCATGCCCCCTCCTACGACCGCTACCTCCAATGTCTTTCTCCCGCCGGCTTCGCGACCTGAATCTCGCCATCTACGGGGTGCTGGCCGTCGCCATCGGCGTTCTCATCGGCCGCGTGATGGAAAACGCCAGGATGACCAGACGCTGGGACCTTCCTGCGACCCTGCTGGGGATCGGCCTTATCGCGTGTGGATTCGTGAAGTGGACGCGTGGCCCAACGTCCGTTCTGGGCGGATGGCGCCATCTCAGCAGGCGGCGGCCCTCATGCGAGGCCCCGGGCAGGACTTAGCTAGGGGCATCGCCGTGCGGATCCCGTCCGGTGCAATTCATTTCGGGGCCGAAGTGAACGGAATTTGTGCAGATAGTGTGATGTATTTTCTGTATTGCTTGTCGCGAAAGTTCGACAGTCTTGAAGGTGAACGCCAACTGCAACGAAGACTCGAGCTTCTGGGCTTCAGAGGACGCATCACGCTCGGAGACAGCTTGTAGTGGAGCTGAGAAAGCAGGATCTGCAGAGGATAGCATCCAGCTGCTGTTTACGACCCTCGTCAGAGTACTACTAGTGCCACCGCGCGAGGTTCGCTGTTGCAACCATCCAATGACATGATGCCACGCGCCCAGCAGGAACAGGATCGCCTACTTGAGGTCATTAGACGACGACGCCATTTTGTTGGACGCGCGCCTGGGGAAAATGCGCAGGTCACGGGTGGCCGGGGAAGAAGCGACATGCTCATGACTGGCGCTGCAGTGGTTACGGGGAACGAGCTCGAGCAGACGGATGAGAAAAACATGGAGTCCCAGCGGGGGATTCGTGGGCGTTGACCCTTATCATCCCGCAGACCTTTCAACAAAGCGCCCAAGGGGGCCTGGCCGCCTGGGCGCCGCCCGCCGCGGCCGCTGCAACGGCCGCGCCACGGGCCGCGCCGACTGCTGCCCTTTGGGGGCGCTCGACGGAGGAAGACGACAGCGGGTTCGCTTCGTGAGCGCGCGAACTCGCGACTTGGCCTGAGCGCGTGCGCGGCGTTTCCAGCGCCCGTTGCTGCGTTGCTTAATGTGGGAGAGTTCCTGCGCGCGTTCGACTCGTCTCGATTCGTCTTTCCGAAGCAGGAAGTAGCGTCCGAGTCGTCGCCGCAAATGCATGGGTAGTGGAGGGCGAGCGGCCGCCAGCTACTCGCGGGGGAAGGCATTCGAGCCTGCGTCGCGGCCTTCGACGACAGCGCCGATGAACAAGTGTTCTTGGAGGCCGTGGCAAAGGTCGCGGCGGAGGTCTCGACGGTGGCGGCGACCGTCCGGCGAAGGGAAGGACGACCTCATCGGTGGCGGCGAGACCATGCCGCGCCACAGTTGAGGGCCCACTCAACATATTGTCCGAGAATGCACGCGACTTTTGGGCCGAGGGTTCGGCCGGTCTCCCGTGGGGGCGCGCGGCTCACTGGCGCTGTTGAGTATTTGGATTTTCTTGGGTACAATCAGCAGGGGCAGCTCTATTTCGCGGAGGCGGCCGAGCAGTATCTCGATGTGATATGCGAACAAGGTGCGGAACAATATCAACGCCGCCAACTGTGCTCCATCAGCGACTGGCTCATGAGGGCGCGACCAAAGCATTCCGTGTCAGACGATGTCGAGGCGCTGTTTTCGTTTTTCTTGGTACTGGAACTAGACCGCACGTGCGCGGCGTGAAATGTGCGATCGCCGACGATCGCGATGACGTGTTCGGCCCGAGCGCTTCGTCGTCGTCTCGGGCCATTTTCGGGCCTGTCCAGCCGCGTGATCCACGCGCGCCGCCCCGTGGAGATGAACCCGAAGTTGTGCATTCACACTCTCCCGCCCCTCCTCGCCCTCGCCTTCTCCTCCCTTGCTTCCTGCTTGCTGTCTTCCCCTGTCCCCTTCCCGCCTGCCCGCCCGCCTGCTTCGCCCCGCCGGCCCTGGCCTCCCGCCTGCGCGTTTGCCTTCGTCTGCTTGGTTCTCGTTCCCGTTCCTCTCTCTCCGTCGCCGTGCGGCGCAGACGGCCGAGGGCTGGCGGCGCTGGGCAATTGCTTAGTCTTGTTGTAATGGTCCCCATCTGGAACCCCATTGGTTTAACCCCGCATTTTTTTTTGTTCGGATCCGCATAATTTCCAGGAGGTCCGCGCGGATTTCTGGGTTCGGCCTTGCGCGCCCTGCCCCCCTGGCGGCGCCTCCAGCGCCGCCCTGGGCGCTTTCCGCGTGCCGGGGATGGGGGCCCAGCGCCGCGGCTCGGCGCCGCGGGGGGCAGCTTCGCGCGAGGGCCAATATTAATATACAAGGGTTTATGGTTCCGGTGGCGCGAATAATTCGGAATTTGCAATGGTTTATGGTTTCGGGGACGCGAACAGCGGTAACTTACGAGGGCTTGTGGTTTCGGGGACGCTATAATTTAGTAATTTACAAAATGTTTACGGCTTCGGGGGCGCAAGTATTCCCAAGCCAGAGCCTGCGTCGGTAGGGGTCCTTGCGGATTCACATGGTTAGGTGAGCTTTGCCGCCGATTTCCGCGGCCCGCCCGGGTGCCCGGGTGCCCTGGTGCCCGGTGCCCGGGTGCCTCGTAGCCTTATAGCCCTATAGCCCTATAGCCCATAGCACTATAATCCGCCCAGTAGCCCCATAGCCCTATAGTCCTATAACCCTATAGCCTTATAACCCCATCGCCCAGTAGCCCTTTAGCCCTATAGCCCACTAGCCCTATAACCCTGTAGCCCTATATACCCATAGCTTTGTAGCCTTATAGCCCTATAGCCCTATCGCCTCAGAACCCTGTAGCTCTATGGCCCTATAACCCTATAGCCCATATAACCATGTATCACTATAGCCCAATAGCCCTATAGCCTCGTAGCCTTATAGCCTTATAGCCCACTAGCCCAATAACCCTATAGCCTGATAGCCCCAGAACCATGTAGCGTAATAGCCCCATAGCCCTATAACCCTATAGCCCTATAGCCCTAT